ACACCTGATTCGGATCATCTCGTTAGAAGTGAGCTCCGTGCATGAACTGTGTTCCGATTGACATGGTCCCTACACAGTGTCCATTGCTCCCTACTCCCTGAGCAGGGGAAATCCGTTGACGTTTACTTCACTTCAGAATATTCATTTACAGATTTGCGCTACGCCGTTGCCTGCAGCGTCTTCACACACAAACAAAACTTACTAGAGAAGCGTGAAGTGGGACATAATATACCTCTGTAAATAAATACAGTTTAAATTCACATCTCGCACACTTAAATGCCCTTTGTATGGAACATATACGCTCCCTTCAAACTGTAATCGTGGCGGAATATCCGGTAATGTCCACTTCCCAGGGCACTTACAGTCAAATATAACAAACGTATGAAGCAATAAGAGAAACACACAAAATGTGCAGAGCGGGGGTACGCGAGGACTGGAAATGAGAACTGCTGTTCTAGACATGCCAAAATTTGAGGCTACAGCACAGCAGCTCTTCTTCTTCGTCGTCTCGTCTGATGCGCTCCTCACCCCCCAACCATTTGAATTTCTGTAGGCGGGAATTATTTATAATGAAATTCTAATGAGCCACTTTGTGATATCACAAAGCCCGGAAACCAAACGCTGTAGTCCAAACGAGCCGTTTGCTGTAGTTCTTGAAAATGGATTTTTAAAAAACTAAATATCTCCCTTTGGAGTGGACTTTGAGATGTGTAACTTTCTAGATCTTTTTTATGCCTAAACATCCACACTACACACTGACTAAAATTAAAAAAGTGAAAAAGCATAATAGGACCCCTTTAACAGAGCTGTTGTAGGGTAATTATTATTGCAATTCGTGCGTGCATTAGAAAATATAACATTCTGCAGTTTATTTACTAATCGTTTGAGGTAATTTTGCGATTTCAATCATCATACAGCAACCTAACCACCAGCATTAGCCACCTCTTCTTCTCATCGGAAACTTGATGCAGCACTAAGTCTGTCGCTGTCGGTGCTTCACGCTTGTAATGATTTCTGCGTCTTTCTCTGATAGTTTTAAATACTTTCACACTGTCGACATGTTTGCTGCATTAGCGCGTACCTCTATTTTGATCGCGTTCGTCATTGTTCGGTTCATATTATTCGGCGTTTTTGTTTATTCGGCCGAACACCGAAAGAGACTTTTTTGCTATTTTCGGATGGATAATTTCGGTTGCCGAATATTCGGTGCATCCCTATTTTTAACTAGTCAACTTGAAAATGTAACTACAACATGATTCAAGTAACTTTTTCTTTATTAACTCTCTAGTTAAAAAAAAATTATATTCCAAGTACAGTTGTCAACATGATGTAAATGTTAAACAAATCACTTGTTATATATTTTTGCGGAAAAGATGCTTGAACTACAGCTACATCTTGTACAAACTTTTCTTATACACATTATATGTTCAGAAATAATATGAGAAAAATGCTTTAAAAAAATCTTAAAAGTCAACGAAATTCAAAATGACTGAAAGTATAACACCAGTAGACTATTATTAATATAAATGTTCTGTAAAAGCAACAGCAGCTTTCAGCCTGTCACCATGATGCAAACATGAAATATCAGACATACAGTAGTAGTTACAGGTTTTTTATTCGCTTGCGCTCCTTTTCCATTGTTTTTTTCTATGTAAACATGGACACATTTGACTGTTGCACTTGCATCTCTTGCAGCGTCTCGTACATTAAACGTCATTCTAAATATGTGGCGCTCAAGTTAAAAGAAGTTCACTCCCATTTTCTTGCATGTTTTTCCCATTCCACTGCTCGTGTTTCATCTTTGTCAACACAAAAGCGCATTCTGTGTGAATGGCGCCTAGCGATATGAGTGCGCCACACGTGAGTGGTTAATCACATACACAGACATGCGGTTGGATCATTCTTTTCTCTTTACTGTTATCATTGGCATATTGTCAAAGTGTCTAATTCTAATGTTTGATAATATTTCTTTTCAAAATAGTGATTCCTCAATTTCTAAAAAATAAAATCGTAGCAAAACATTAAATCCTAATTAATCGATAAATTCTGAAAAATCACCCAGCCCTAGCTGATATATTAAAACCATTTAAAAAGCATAATAAAGCATAATGTTATTGTGAATTTACAAATGCTAAGATTCAATTAAATAAATACATGCAATGCAGGTTAAATATATGTTCTTTAATTATTTACATGCGTGTAGGTTATGCATATGCATCTCAGAGTGCCTCCATTCACAGTAAATGATGCTCCACACAAACAGTTATCATTTATAATTTTTATCATGTGTGGAGCGTCTCAAACTCCATCTCTGAGTATTGGGGTGAGTTAAAGTCGCACTGAATTGTAAAGTACATACAAGTGTAACAGATTATCTAACTTGGTTCTATCCTTTGGTTGTTGATTAGTTTTTTGAGATGAGGGTGTTGCACTCAAAAATGAAGGTCAGCTTGCAGTCAACGGTGGAGGAGCAGGGTTTAAATGAAGGGATTGGAGAAGTCTGGCATACATTAGCCAGTCTCACTGAAAGGTTATTTATATATATATATATATTGTATATTATATATTGAAATTTTGATAAAAAGTTATGAAATATTAAAAACTTAGAACATTTACATTAACATAGACATTTACAGTAAAGTCTAAAAAAATGCATTTGCAAAATGTGGTGAATGTTTGTCTTAAACATTTCCTACATCATCTTCATAGGATGTTGAGATGTCTAAAAAATAGCCCAATGCAGAAAAAAAGACAAAAAAGGGAAGGAAAGTAGGTGTGTTTCAGGTAAACTGATGTTATGTGATCCACAAGTCCACAACAGAGGTCAAGGTTTGGCTAGTCTCAGCAGCCTCAGACGTCACGCCCACGGACCGTTGACTGACTTTTGAAACACTTAAGGAGTTTCGAAGTCGTCATCGGATTGGTTGAATTATACAGGATTTCCGGGAGACGTGCGTGTCGCCTTCTTTAACGTTCCACCTGGAAACAAAGATGCTGTGATGCCAAACCCCCTCATGAAAAAAGAAAGCTGTCGTGTTTACAACTGTGATGACGAGCGCTTATCAGGATCAACTAAACGCTGGATTTTCAAAAGTATGTGAAATATTTAAAGTTTGCGGCATAGAATCTTTAAAGGGCTAGTTCACCCAAAAATAACATTTCTGTTATTACTTACTCACCCTCATGCCGTTCCAAACCTGTGAGACCTTCGTTTATCTTCGGAACACAAATTAAGATGTTTTGATGAAATCCGAGAGCTAGTCAGCAACACAACTGTAATGTTCCCAGGCCCAGAAATGTAGTAAGGACATCAGTAAAATAGTCCATGTGACATCAGGGGTAATTAATGACAGAATTTTCAGTTTTGGGTGAACTATCCCTTTAAGCTTTTAAAAGAATCAAGTACTGGCAAATCATCAACAAATCCATAAAAATATTTCCTGCCAATTTTGAATGACCAATGCAGAAAGATGCTTTTAAGAACGTGATGGTGTAATTACAGCATCTGTCAGCAGGGGGTAACCTGCTAACCAGCCAAACTTTAGTCTCGCAT